CCAAACACAGCAAGTAGATGTTTTTTACCAAAACGTTCTATTTTGGTTTCATCTGACCATATGACATTCTTCTGGATCATCCAAATGCATAGCAAACTTCAGACGGGCCTGCACATGTACTGGCTTAAGCAGAGGGACATGTCTGGTTATGAAAGATTTGAGTCGTTGGCGGCATATGTTACTGATGCCTTTGTAACTTTGGCCCCATCTCTCTGCAGGCCATTCACTAGGTCCCACCAGGTTCTGGGATTCTTGCTCAGTTTGCTGTGAGCATTTTGACCCCACGGGGTGAAATCTTGCCCAGAGGGAGGTTATCAGTGGTCTTGTATGTCCTCCACTTTCTAAAAATTTCTCCCACAGTTGATTTCTTCACACCGAGCTGTGTACTTATTACAGACTCAGTCCATCCATCCTGGTGCAGGTCTACAATATTGTTTCTGGTGTCCTTTGACAGCTTTTTGGTCTTGGCAATAGTGTAGTTTGGAGTGTGACTGTTTGAGGTTGTGGACTGGTGTATTTTATACTGATAACGTTCCAACAGACGCCATTAATGCAGGTAGAGAGTCGTGGACAGAGGAGCCTCTTACAGAAGAAGTTACAGATCTGTGAGAGCCCAAAATATTGCTTGTTTTTAGGAGACCAAATACTTATTTTCCACCATAATTAGCATATATATATATATATATATATATATATATATATATATATATATATATTTTTTTTTTTTTTATCAGACGATGTGATTTTCTGGATAATTTTTTTCTCTCATTTTGTCTCTCATGAGGTATACCTAAGATGAAAATTACAAGCCTCTTTGACACACTCACACACAGCTTCCCGACTTGGCTGGAGGAGGAGCGAAGATCATTTACCTAACAAAACTGGCTGAGACAAACCAGCTCATTTAAGATGGAGTTTGTTGGACAAATGAAAACAACCAGACAGTAGATCGTGTTTATCTAGAGAGGACACTGGTGTACTTCCTCTGCATTCACATTCACCTTTGTTTCTATTACAGATCCAAAGAACACATCGGAAATCCTTCATATAAACCAAAAGTTTGGAGAAGTGCAGCCAGTGTCAGTTTGGTTGCTGCATACGAGCTGTGCTGGAGTATCGATTACCTGCCACTGTGTGACTGTAGAAGGCTGTAGGAAACTTCAGTACAGCACAGGACTGCTGCAGGCGTGGGCAGGCCAGTTTCCATAACAACGTGAAAGAAAAGATACTTTAAAATCCAAACAACTTCAGCCAGTTTATTCCTGGGATTTGGGTGCAAGAGAAGCCGCTTCTTTTTAACAAACACTACCAGGGCTCAAGGTTTAGAGCTTCACCACAGTATATAATAACAATATCTAACACTTTAACCAGCGGCGGCGTTAGGCCCGGCTACTTGGGCTCAAGCCCCAATGTTTAATGAATAGCCCAGGATCTCAAACGTGGAAGTAACATGCAGTACTAAAGTCCAACAGAGAGGGCGCAGCTAGCAGTAGTTTGTATACAGCCTGCCTGAGCCTCCACCACTGAAGAAGAAGCCCTTCAGCAGCCGGTGTCGGTACAAGATCTGCTTGGGTGCAAGATCGGCTCGGGGTCCTTCGACTGCCGATGACGTCAAAGTACGGCAAACCCACTCGGACAAAATACACTACACATCGATACTGTTGGAAAGACTTTAGCAGTTTCGTTATTAAAATAATGTTTCTTAAGACGTAAGTTTGTGTTTATAATGGTATTTGTAAAATAAAACACTATATTGTATTCATAATGTTGAACTCCTCTTTGAGCACATCCCTTGAAGGATCATAGGTATTAGCAACACCTGTGAAATTGTATTTGCAGGAAAGAAGTGTGTCCCGTTTATCGACGTATTTTGTGTTTAGAGTTTTTGACGTCTTGTCCATGCGTAGTTCAGTTACGCTCATAGCTGCTATAGCCAAAACTCTGGAGTTAAAAGTTTTCTGGCTTTCCTAAAATACCTGTCTGTACTTATTTGATTGATGGTAGTTTTACTTTCTATTAGACTCCAAATGTAATCATTTGGCACGTTTCTAATTCATAATTTGTAATAATGTAATCGGTGATATTAGCATTAGCAGTCCTATGGGTTTTTCCACGTATATTAGCATTGCGCTAACCACTCGCTGCCAAATTGCAGCCTTTGAGATTAGAAAATCTCCTTTTGTCACATCGCAATTTAATTGCACACGCAGTTAATCGTTCAGCCCTAATATACATACAGCTCTATGCTAAAAGTGTATTTTCAAAGAGGTAATGATGGATTTCTTTGTAAAAGTTGTCCATCTTTCCAACAGAAAGATTTGCCTGGACCAACGTAACGTGATAACAACGTAACGTGATTACGTAATTCCGTAAAATTCATGTTCAGCCAATCAACTACTTTGACGTCATCGGCAGTCGACGGACCCCGAGCCAATCTTGCACCCGAGCAGATCTTGTACCAACACCGGCTTCTTCTGCAGTGCCTGGTTTTTTCCACACTCTGCCTGAAATGCATGTGTGAAGATGGACATAAGGACATTTTTTAGACAAAAAGTACAACGACAGAACCCCAGCTTTGATGATACTGATGTTTACTCAGGTTTGTGAGTCTTATTTGAAAATAATTGTTGTGCTGCTGGTTTGCCTAAAGTTAGCTTACTATCATGTAAAGTTGATGGAGAAAGAAAAGGAATATTTACTATCATCTCACACTAAACACTAACAGGAACAATACTCTGCCCTGAATATGCTTAATATGTAGCTTCAGATTAAAAATTATGTGGTACAAGACAAATATATATGTTGACTAGTGCACGTCACGTGTGTGTGCGCGTGCGTGTGTGCACGCACGGGCGTGTGTGTGTTAAGTCCCGGGTCTTCTTCAGTCCTTAATCCGCCCCTGACTTAAACAATGTTTTGGCTTTAATTTAAGAGAAAGCGGCAGTGATAATTGTTTCAATGGTAAAGATTAAAGGGATATTCCACCCAAAACTTACATTTTGCCTGTTGACATATATTTTAACTATGCACAGTTATTCTCCTGACCCGGCTGTACTCCTTTCGCATTAGTTTAGCATGAAGCACAGTAAGTTAATGGATCCAGTTAGCATTGTGAGCAAAAATCTCCATAAAATCACTCGGTAGTGATCCCAATTCTGTTTGGTGACCTAAATAATCAAACAGACTGCAAGTGAAAATAATTGGTAACATAAAGGAATTACAGGCACCATTTTCGAATTGGGACTACTTTAAGACAAAGCACAGCTGTAAGATATTTCCCCACAAATCTAACTCTGGGAAAAATGTACAAAACGAATTTCAATGTTAGGTGGAATATCCCTTTAAGACACAAGGTACCCAAGAAAAGTGGCTTATTGTTTGGAAAGAATCTATAATAATGTGAAAAAATGGAGAAAGTGGAAATAAAACATGATGGTGATGCTCCAAGAAGTTTTGTAAAACATATTTCCAGACCTGTGTTTGCACAGCGGTGTGCTTTTAACATTTAAAGCAATATTTCCAGAGTCAGGAGGACTGCACTGTTGGTTGTAAAGTCCGTCCGTCCGTCCATCCATCCATCCATCCATTCATTCATCTCTCCATCCATCCATCCATTTTCATCCACTTATCCGGAGTCGGGTCGCAGGGGCAGTAGCCTAAGGCGAGGGCCCAGACTTCCCTCTCCCCAGCCACTTGGGCCAGCTCCTCCGGGGCAATCCCAAGGCATTCCCTGGCCAGGTGAGAGACATAGTCCCTCCACCGTGTCCTGAGTCTACCTTTAGGTCTCCTCCCGGTTGGACGTGCCCAGAAAACCTCACCAGGGAGGCATCCAGGAGGCATCTGACCAGATGCCCGAGCCACCTCAACTGGCTCCTCTTGATGTGGAGGAGCAGCAGATCAACTCCGAGCCCCTCCCGAATGAACGATTTTCTCACCCTATCTCTACGGGAGAGCCCAGCCACTCTTCGGAGAAAACTCATTTCGGCCGCTTGTATCCGCAATCTTGTTCTTTCGGTCACTGCCCAAAGCTCATGACCATAGGTGAGGGTAGGAACGTAGATCTACCGGTAAATTGAGAGCGTCGCCTTCTGACTCAGCTCTCCCTTCACCACGACAGACCGGTACAACGCCCGCATCACTGCAGATGCAGCACCAATCCGCCTATCAATCTCACGCTCCAGTTTTCCCTCACTCGTGAACAAGACCCCGATTCCTCTACTTGGGGCAGGACCTCATCCCTGACCCGGAGAAGGCATTCTACCCTTTTCCAAATCAAGACCATGGTCTCAGATTTAAAGGAGCTGATTCTCATCCCAGCTGCTTCACACTCGGCTGCGAACCGCTCCAGCAAAAGCTGAAGATCATGTTCTGATGAAGCCAACAGGACCACATCATCTGCAAAAAGCAGAGACCTGATCCTCAGGCCACCAAAACGGATACCCTCCACATCTTGGCTGCACCTAGAAATCCTGTCCATAACAGTTATTAACAGAAACGGTGATAAAGGGCAGCCTTGGCGGAGTCCAACTCTCACTGGGAACGAGCCCGACTTACTGCCGGCAATGCGGACCAATCTCTGACACCGGTCATACAGGGGCCCAACAGCCCGTATCAGAGGGCCTGGTACCCCATACTCCTGGAGTACCTCCCACAGGGCCCCCTGAGGGACACGGTCAAACGCCTTCTCCAAATCCACAAAGCACATGTAGACTGGTTGAGCAAATTCCCACGCACCCTCCAGGATCCCCCTGAGGGTATAAACCTGGTCCAGTGTTCCACGGCCATGACGAAAACCACATTGCTCTTCCTGAATCTGAGGTTCAACAATCCGACGGACCCTCCTCTCCAGAACCCCTGAATAGACCTTACTAGCAAGGCTCAGGAGTGTGATCCCCCTGTAGTTGGAACACACCCTGCGGTCCCCCTTTTTAAATAAGGGGACCACCACCCCGGTCTGCCAGTCCAGTGGGACTGCCCCCAATGTCCACGCGATATTGCAAATTTTACCACATCAGCCAACAGCCCCACAACATCCAGAGCCTTAAGGAACTCCGGGCGGATCTCATCCACCCCAGAGCCTTCCCATAGAGGAGCTTTTTCACCACCTCAGTGACCTCAGCACCAGAGATTTGAGAGACCAACTCAAAGTCCCCAGACTCTGCTTCCTCACTGGAAGACGTGTCGGTGGGATTGAGGAGGTCTTCGAAGTATTCTGCCCACCGATCCACAACGTCCTGAGTAGAGGTCAGCAGCAAACAGTCCCCACTATAGATAGTGCTGGTAGCACACTGCTTTCCCCTCCGAGGCGCCGGATGTTGGACCAGAATCTCCTTGAAGCCGTACAGAAGCCTTGCTCCATGGTCTCACCGAACTCTTCCCATGCCCGGGTTTTTGCCTTGGCGACCACCCGAGCCACTTTCTGGTTCGACTGCCGGTACCTGTCAGCTGCCTCTGGAGTCCCACAGGCCAAAAAGACCTGATAGTAGGGCTGCTCGATTATGGCAAAAATAATAATCACGATTATGGTGACTGAAATTGAGATCACGATTATTTAGGACGATTTTTCAATTTATGTTGATTTTATTTGTTTTTATTCAGTCATAAAATTGCTCAGGGCACAATCAGGACAAAAATAAGAAACAAGATGATCACTAAAAGAACTCCTGATTCCCTGTATAAAAGACCAATATACTTATAGCTCATAGTCTATGACCCAAGGGCTGTAGACCTTGGTTTAACTCATTTAAGTCTAACCAGTACAGAACCAAATACCAATATCTTGCAAATACTGACAGCAAGAATTATACAGTGGCATTTATAACAAATAAATGCAAATAAATTGATGTTCACAAAATGTTGCATAACATTTATTGAGTTGTGTCAAGGTGCTGTAGGAGAGTGCACTAGCACCGTGTCCTCAGAGAGATTAGTTATTATTTATCAGCGTGAGGAAGTTATTTCTACCTTATTTACAAACTATTTATTTACAAGTCCATCAGTTAATGTAATAATTGTCCCAACCACAGCTGCACCCCCCACCCCCCAACCCGGTCTCACAGCAATCAGGGGCAAGCTGCACGTGTGTTTAGCGCACCGCACGCGCACATTTAGCTGTTTTTAGCGGCTCAGGAGTCCGCAGGTGCGGTGTGTGTGTCACTCACTCTGGTTACTCCAACAGGGAGCAGGGCGGCTCCGAGAGCTGTCTTTAGCGACCGACACATCACTACATCATTCCCTTTCCTAATGTCCTGAAGAACGGTCCGGAGTGCAGGCGGAGTGTTTAGCTAACCTGCAGGAAACGTCGACGATAGTTATCCAGAAAGTAGCTAAGGGTTACCAGAGATGTTTCTGAGGTGTTCGCTAGGTACTTTTAGGATTAAAAAGTCAAGAAGGGGGTCTGAAAAGCTGTTAGAAATAGCGTCAAAGTCGCTAAGTTGGCAACACTGTAGGAGCGCTTCATTTGCAACTCAGGGCAGCGCAAGCGGGAGGAGCAAATAATCGGCTTGTTTTGTTTTTTATAATCGTTCAAAACTCAGATCGTAATCGTGATTAAAATTCGATTAATTGAGCAGCCCTACCTGATAGGACTCTTTCTTCAGCTTGACAGCATCCCTAACCTCTGGTGTCCACCAGCGGGTTTGGGGTTGCCACCACAACAGGCACCGACAATCCTGCGACCACAGCTCTGGTCGGCCGCCTCAACAATGGAGGCACGGAACAGGGTCTGTTCAGACTCAATGTCCCCCGCCTCCCCCGGAACATTTGGGAAGTTCTGTTGGAGGTGGGAATTGAAGCTCCTTCTGACAGGAGACACTGCCAGACGTTCCCAGCAGACCCTCACGATACGTTTGGGCCTGCCTGGTCTGACCGGCATCCTCCTTCACCTTCTGAGCCAACTCACCACCAGGTAGTGGTCAGTTGACAGCTCTGCCCCTCTCTTCACCTGAGTGTCCAAGACATGCGGCCGCAGGTCAGCTGAAACAACAAAGTCGATCATCGAGCTGCGGCCTAAGGTATCCTGGTGCCAAGAGCACATATGGACACCTTTATGTCTGAACATGGTGTTCATTAAGGACAATCCATTACTGGCACAGAAGTCCAATAACAAAACACCACTCGAAATCATATCGGGGGGCCGTTCCTCCCTGTCGTTGCCCACATGAGCGTTAAAGTCCCCCAGCAGAACGAGGGAGTTACCGGAAGGAGCGCTTTCCAGCACCCCCTCCAAGGTCTCCAAAAAGGGTGGGTAGTCTGAACTGTAGTTTGGTGCATAAGCACAGACCACAGTCAGAACCCGTCCCCCCACACGTAGGTGGAGGGAGGCTACCCTCTCATTCACTGGGATAAACCCCAACGTACAGGCACCAAGATGGGGGGAAACTAGTATGCCCACCCCTGCTCGGCGCCTCTCAGTGGGAGCAACTCCAGAGTGGTAGAAAGTCCAACCCCTCTCAAGGAAACTGGTTCCAGAGCCAGAGCCATGCGTTGAGGTGAGTCCGACTATATCTAGTCGGAACCTCTCAACCTCACACACCAACTCAGGCTCCTTCCCCACCAGAGAGGTGACATTCCATGTGCCAAGAGCCAGCTTCTGTAGCTGAGGATCAGACCTCCAAAGTCCCCGCCCTCGACTACCACCCGTCACACACTGCACCCGGCCCCTTTGGCCCCTCCCACGAGTGGTGAGCCCATGGGAAAGGGGACCCACATTTCCTCTTCGGGCTGTGCCCGGCCGGGCTCCATGGGCAGACTTGATGCGACTTGATGCAATTTGCTGGGTTCCTTATATAGGACACATTATTTCTGATTGGCTTAATGAACTGTGAATTGGAATGTTTATTATGTGAAGTGCCTTGAGACGACTCTTGTCGTGATTTGGCGCTATATAAATAAACTTGAATTGAATTGAATGGGTGAAAGCCCGGCCACAAGGCGCTCTTCAGCGTGCCCCACCTCCAGGCCTGGCTCCAGGCTTGTTTGGAAAGAATCTATAATAATATGAAAAAATGGAGAAAGTGTAAATAAAATATAATGGTGATGCTCCAAGAAGTTTTGGAAAACATATTTCCAGACCTGTGTTTGTACAGCGGTGTGCTTTTATCATTTAAACCAATATTTCCAGAGTCAGGACTACACTGTTGGTCGTAAAGTCTTGGAATTTTTTCCAGAAGTAAAATTAACTTTTAATATAATTGTTGATGGTATAATTTTGTCAGAACTTTTGCAAAAGCATTAAACATGCAATCAAAAATGGATAAAAATGATATCACAGGTTATTTACTGTTGAGGATCAGGCTGAATAGACTCACAAGTCTCTTCCAATGTTATTTTATATTTTTTACTCCATAAATTATCAATAATCACACAGAGGATTGACTGTGGGAAGTTGCTTTAACAAAAACATTATATTAGGCCACAATTTCCCAAATAACCCACAGATTAAACCCAACCTTTATAGGAATGCTGCCATCTTGTTTTTTTATTTTTTTTATTCATCTCAATTTTAAGATTTAATAAAAGGGTGGAGGGTGAGACTAACAGGACGTTAAAGTTCTCACAGGAAGCTAAAGGAAATTTTACTGAAGAGAAAACAAAAGACAGAAAACGTGTCTGAGAAGACCGATCCTGCCAAATGCTCAGGAACTCTTTCAACAGCCATTAATATTCAACATATCATCAATAAGGTTGTAAAAAGGTGATTACATTTCATTGCTGTGTTGAAGCCTAAAGGTGTTGAACACTCATTTAATTCATTTACAGTAGTTCTAAGTAGGAATGAATGCCTTCTAAGTCTTACTCTGGGGGAAAAAACACAGCTGTACCATTTTCAGGAACTAGAAGTGAGCCTCATCACAGATGAGCTTCAGACGACCGGATGTGGAGTATTATTTCCTGATATTTGGACATCTCACCTCAGATTGGATAACAGCCTTGTGACTCTACCACTATTTTCAACTTGTGTGTGATTTCTGCTGTATGGTAGAGTAGCTAATGCTAACAGTTAGCTTCTACAACACAAGACTTGCACTGCTCGTTTCTGGATGCTACACTAACAACAGCCTTCCCCGTCACGAGTCAAGATGGGTGAGTTCGTGAATTTTAAGTGACAGAGTGATGTAGAGCTGTCAGGATTTTCAAATCCTAGAGATTCACCATCTATTTTCTATCAGACGCTAATGCAGGAGATAGGTGTAGAAGATTATTTTTATGTTCAGTCTGCATGTTAAACTCAGAGAATGATTATAATCAGAAATAATCCATAAAAAATAATTTTAGGTGTTCCACACCATTAAGCTCTGAATAATTTAGGTTCAAAACTTGTTAAAATGCATTTGCTTCATATTTACCTAAATTCTTGCTGTTTAGAAAAAAAATCACTGTAGAAATGGAAAATTGTGATTTTCTCTCAACTAAAAACAAGGGTAGACTTATTCTAAAATCTATTTAGTTAGTAGCTCATCACACCAAAACCAGGCTGAGACTCATTAGGTGCTAAATCATAAAACTGCTCCAGAGTGATTCCTCTGCTGTCTCATTACAGAAGGAAGAACAGCAGAAGTGCTGGAGCGTGCACCGCGAGGGAGCCGTAGCTGCAGAGTGATGGGCCGGAGCTCAGCGTAGTGAGTCTGTACTGTATGTGAGGGAGGAGATGAGCTACGGGAAACTCATTAAAGCAGCATGACTACAGAAAGCAAGAAACAGAAAACGGTGGTTGGAACAAAATAATTACTAAATAAAAGGGAGAGATTTAACTACAGAGGAAAATGAAGTAATCCAGCCTTTGTCACATGCACTTGTAAAGGCTGCTTCTCTCATGTGTGCACTCTTGTTTACGCACATAATCAGCTGTTTAGGCCTCTCATACGTGATTGTGAAGATGTGCAGAAATTAATCATTTGTGAAACCAGAACTGTTTCATTTGAACATTGTTATCATTTCTTTGAAGAATGACATTGCTGCAAAAGGCAGCAGATAAACACAGAGGCAATGTCATAGTGTTTCAAGAGTTTTGCCTTGATTTTTTGCTGTATTAACATTTACATAACACATAATTACATAAGAAGCAGCTGAATGCTCTCATGCACGTCTTTATCTACTGCAGCACGTCTTCTTGGCCACTTTGAACAAACCGAAACATTTCTGCTACCACATCAAGTTTAAACTTCTGCTTCCAAATCTGCAGCAAACTCTGAATTTGGTGGTTTGATGCAGACTGCAGAGGGAGGATGGAGCAGCTTGATGGTCTTTAATAGAAGCTGTTCAAAAAGTTGGTTTCATTGTTAGGGAAAACAAAGCTGACTGAAACGCTTCTGCAGTCAGAAACAAGAGCACTGTCATGGTGCGAACGTCAGGGAAGGGTCAGAAGCTGTTCTCAACCGGAAACAAGGTAATTGCCAGCTCTGGGTCTGGGGAGAGGTCCAGTCTCAGGTGGAGGAGTTTAACTATCTGTAGGTCTTGTTACTAATAGAGAGAAGGGTGGAACTGGAGATGCTGAACTGGTCTATTGTGGTGAAGAGGGCGCAAAGCCGAATGTTGATTTATGTTCCGACCCAAACCAAATCTCACAAGGTAACGACCAAAGGGGAAAGATCACAAATATAAGGGACTGAAATGTGTTTCCTCTGCGGTTTAGATGTGATCAAAGAAGGTGAACATCTGAGGAACTCGGAGCAGAGCAGCTGCTCCTCCACATTGAGAAAAGACAGCTGAGGTGAAAGTGGTGTTAAGTGTATGACCCTGTGGGATGAAACATTACAGGACACAGTGGAGGAATTACATCTAGCTTGGGATTGGACAAGAGGAGCTGGGTGGGGAAAGTCTGGGATTTGTTGCTCAAGCCTCCAGGACTAAAAACTGATGAATGCACGGAGTCTGTTGATTGATAATTGAAGAAATAAGGGATTGCTAATTAAAACAGCAGGCAGATTTCCTCTCTGGCAGCACAAACTCTACCTGTATACAGTACCATACAAAAGTTTTGGCCAGATGTGAAAGATGCTGTAAACAACTTTCTGAAATATAAAGAATGGTTGTTTATTTTTATCAATTTGCTAAATGTAAAGTGAGTGACCCCAAACATACGGCCAAAGTCATTCAGAACTATCTTCAGCGTAAAGAACAAGAAGTCCAGGAAGTGATGGTGTGGTCCCCACCATCCACAGAAGATAAGTTCTCCAAGATGTTTGGAACAACCTACTAGCCCAGTTTCTTGAAACACTGTGTGCAAGTGTAACTGGAAGAACTGATGCTGTTTGAAGGCAAATGGTGGTCACACCAAATATTCATCTGATTTAGATTTCTCTTGTTAATATTACTGTAAGTTTAAAATGCAACTGTGAAACCATTCAAACAAAATCAGTAACATCACCGGACAATGGAGTCACAATCAATAACTTCCAATCTTTTAATGACGTTTGTACTGATGGCAGATACCAATACTGGAAAAGATCAGGCCCAACACAACAGTATGGTAACCATTTCATTTGTGTTGAAAATCTGTCACTTTAAATGTCGAAGAGTTACCCCGATTTCAAATATAATCCATTTTAGTCTATGGAGTGGTTCAAATCAGCTGTGATGCGGCAATTTTCAGGCACGCCGCGCTGCTATAGATAGGATCGGGTTCTATTTTTGCCACAAGCCGCTTCTGGGACATGTCAATTTTTGCAGTTAACGTAGGGCTAGACAGGAAATCACACACGGTGTAAGTGTAAAATCCTTGGTGATTTTCAAATGAAAAGTACTGCAGCGATGCAATTTCATGTAGCTTACGTGTGACCTAACTGCTTATTTACTCCTAGGAAGAAGTACAGCGGTACGTTTTTCATGGCTTTCATCCTGACAGTGGAGAGGAACAACATCATATATGACATCAAACAGTGATTTCAAACGTGATTTCCTTCTTTTTGGTTTAATAGAGGATGGCATAAACAAACCGTGACCATTGAAGTCTCGAGGGATCTTGTGATCTGAGTCAAGTGAGAAGGATGGGGGAAGTGTTGAGGGATTTTGTGATCTTGTGATTCCAGTGAAGACCACAGTGTGAAAGCTGTACCGTGGCCAGAACTCTCCCGGTGTGAAATGGACCGCTTTGAAGTTCGCAAGTAAACCGTTCCGCTGCCGTTTCGCGACGCTGACGTTTCCAGTGTGAAACCGGGGTTGGACCCAATTTCTGGGTGGATTTGGAGGGCCTGATTAGCATCTCTCTCTGTCAGAGAACAGACTTTCCTCCAGAGGAATTATCCCATTAGAACACAAACTGAATTTGCGAGCTGTTGCTTTAGAAATGTGTGAATCTGTGACCAAAATGCCACATGAAACCAGTGCCACAATGTCTACAGACCTAAAAAATGCAGCCGCAAAATAAGAGCTCACAGTGCCAAACTATAAATGAATTAAAAGGTGCTTTCTGTAAGCAATGCTGTTGTGATTGAGATGTATTGTTTCTGGTATCCGGCCAGCTATGGAGTCTAGAAAATGGCTAGCCCTGAGAAAAACAACATTTATTAGAGAGGGAATCCTCCAAAACAGAATTGGCTTCATTCTCACATCGGATGGTTTTGTTGGCAAAGTCGAGCTGCATCGACAGCCTTCCAGGCAGCCGCTGTTCTACCATGTCCTCTGGTGTCAGTAAAAACACCTTATATTTATTGCTGGATCTTGCCAAGAACAGCCGATCTATAAACTGTAGCAGTGGAAGGCCCACGGTGAGGAAAAGGACCACAGGGTACAGGTGTTTTCTCCTGAGACTGGGAGATCAGGGGTTCGATTCCTGGTCGGGTCATACCAAAGACTTTGAAAGAATGGGACCCAATGCCTCCCTGCTTGACACTCAGCATTAAGGGGTTGGATTGGGGGGTTAAACCACCAAATGGTTCCCGAGCGCGGCTGTGTCTGCAGCTCACCGCTCCCCCAGGGGATGGGTCAAATGCGGAGAACAAATTTCGCACACACATCAGTGTGTGTGACAACTAATGGGACTTTAACTTTAACTTTAACTTTCCTGTGGTCGGACTGGACTACCACAGTGAGTGGAGTTGTAGTCTCTGTGGGAGCTGCTGTTTAAGTGACTTGAGTGGGACTGAGTCACCATTTAGGGGATGTAATAACAGATTTTAGAGTAAGAGGAATTTCCCAAATACTGCACTGCAGCATCAGAATTGCCTGCGCACAACAAGATAAAAGACATCTACAGTTTGTTGAAGGTTTTGTTTTTATACTATTACTGCTGATACCGTTTTAAAAGAATGTCCTCAATGCAACTAGCAACCAGATACGTGTAAACAAGCTGGTGCAGATATCCATGGATTTGACTGTTTCCCTGAACACATTAAACCAATCTGAGAGACATTGGGGGGGGGGGCTTGTTTTTATTTTAGCACATTTGTCTTTAAAATTGCAACATGAAAGAATGATGTAAGCATGACATGCTGTGGTCAAACTTGGTTACTGCGGTCCATTTTTCTAAACAAAAGGCGACTTTCTCACTGTCATTCTGTGAGTTTTATGACTGTTGGCAGTTAAGGAACAGCGCCAGAAAATTATAGATAACTGGTGAAAACGAGTCATAAATAGTATGTTGATAAGTAAATGAATAAAAAGTCATATCTGGTGCTAGCCCTCGTGGGTGTTTTACAGTAAGAAACACTAATTATTCTCATTACAATAGTTTGTCTCCGGCATTACAGGAAAAGTGGTTGTTTGCCATCTTGCTGTTAGCTTGTTGTTATAGTTCTGAATGACTCGATAAAGAAGGTAAAACACCACCATTAACTCATTATTCACTTCACACATTTCACAATAATATCTAGTTGTTGGTTACTGAAAAAGTAGCTTGAGATATTTTTGGAGCCAACTTTTTGCTTTTGTCAGCATTGTTAGCTCAACATTAACCTCTATCTAACCTGCTAAGCCTTTTTTCCAGGAACGCTACTCAGCCTAAAACAGCTTTGTACCGCGTAAGCGTAGTCTGAGTCAGCCCGCCACATGAGTGTAGTTTTGTTCCCATGCCAGCTTCATGGCAGAAAGTGGGTGCGCCTCTCACAGGTGAGGAGGTGGGGGAGGGGGTGTGCGCACAATTTTTACTTGTGACAAAATAACATGAGGTGATCAGTAAACCATGTAAGGTAACCTCTATGTGCCACAGAAACACAACTCAGCTGAAAAATGGTGGTGCTGCTGAACAGTTAGCTCAGTTTTATGGCTTTTTGTCAGACTCAGATCCAGGAAATGGCTGCAGGCAGTGAAACAGAAGACAGAGAACTCCGGAGCAACCAGTGACTCCACCCCCTAGCCCAGGGATTCCCAAAGTGTGGTGCGCGCACCCCCGGGGGTGCGCGAGCTGCCGCTAGGGGGTGCGCGAGGTGAAAAGTGTAATGGCTGCGGAGCTCAGAGAAGTCTGTCATATGTCACCAGTAGCGTAGCCAGAAACTCGTTTGTGGGTGGGCCTAAGAAAACGTAAGTGGGCACAATAAATATAATTGAAAACAAGTATATTTTTGCGCGCACGTGTGTGTGTCCTCCACATGTGTTCTAGCTTCATAATAACAATGCGCCGAGCTTCAGCACTCTGGCCTGCGCACGCCAATATGTTCCGTATTTGATCATTTTTAACGGTGTTGGAGAAATCTGAAGGTGAGTCATTCTGGCAGATTGTAATTAACACCTGTCTCATGCAGGTGTTCTGACATTGTAAACCTCACACACAGAACATTGTGGATGTAACAAAATAAATAAGAAATGATTCCCATTCAGGCTATTGACAGCGTGCCGGAGATCTGAAGTTCAGAGTGCGTCTGTCAGAGGTCAGACGCGTTCCGGCTGAACCACGGCTCACGGGTGCACAAGTGAGCACATCTGGGCTGGGCAGAAGTAATTTTACAACATTGGTTTAAATAGCGCCAAATAACGAGGCGCGGTGACTGGAGCGGCTCATGGAGCTGTGCCGCGCGCACACACACACACACACACGCAGATTCAATAAGAGCGCACACTGCGCAAACTCCGGCGCCCCAGAAATGAGTGCTGCCTCCTCTGTGATAAAAACTTTTAAGAGGTTTTACAACATTTTTCATTCCAGGTCAAATTAAGATATTAGCTTCTATTTTGGGATGACGTATTAAAGTCGGGTCTGCTCCAGCAGTGACTCCGAACCTGACTACAACCCTGTTGCAGCATTTGTTGTTCCAGTCCGCGTGGCAGCGGATCGCAGATTCAGTCACACCATAAAACAGCAATAAGTCGGTCTGAGGCAAAAGTGAACCTCATGGCTTTTCCATATTTTCCCCTATAGACATTTGATTACGCACAAGTAGGTGATCAGCTCAGGTTTACGCAGA